TAAGTCGGGTTTTCCTTCTTGACGATATAACTCGAGAACGCGCGAATCGATTTCGCCAATTTTGCATTCGTTGGAAAGGTCTCGGGCTCCGCAACGTTTATAGCTAAACAAATTATATGATGCATCGTGTCTTAATGCAAATTGCTGGAACTTCACGCACCGTAATTAAAAATTCGAGTAATGACATCAGTGAGAATTATCAGGATTATGCTTGGTTAAGTCAAGGAGCAATTCTTGCCGTAAAGAATAATGATGTACACGCACTGAATTTCACAATTCAATAAAAAATTACTGGCGATTTGGTGACATACCAATGATTCCGACTGGTCTTTCGTTTGACTTCAAACGATTGCGATTTCTAGTTTGACTTGCGTTCGCAATGACAATTATCGAGTCGCAAGGCCAATTGCTTAGTGTTTGCGGGATACATTTCAAAGAGATTATTTAGAAAATCATTGTTTTTCACATTGGCAGTTATACGTTGCCTGTTCACGAGTTGGAAAACCATCCGCTTTGTTTGTGTTAACGTCAGACCACAAAACAGAAATGTGGTTTACCAAAGAGCACTTCAATGAAACGGATCATTTGCGGATTCACTTTTATTTACTAACAATAAGAGAAGTTCAACTAAAAAACACTTCATTTTTGTAATCGAAATAGATTCATTACTGTTGTGTAATAAAATCAAATTTTTCCTTTTCAAATAAAAAAAAAGAATTTTTTTTTCATCTTTCTCACGAAACCATCTGGTGGCGAAACGGAGTTCGTCGGGTTTGCTAGCGAGTTTATAAATCTGAAGTGAAATATTCGTCTATTATTGATAGCTCTCAATATTAATATCTCTCATATTACTATATGACCTTTATAACCAAGGATCGTGGTTCCATCTTGCATCTACCCTATTTACTGGACATCTCGGATAACATAACTTGTCATAGAATGAATTGAGATCAAAAGACATTCTATCTCAGGAGATGCACTTTGCTGGATCTTATTGAGTGGATTGCTTTCACCAGAAGATTAGTTGCAATGTCTTATGTGACTTAAATGGACACCGAGTGAAAAGACAGGACATTCAATTTTGATAATGGAAAGTTGACTTAAAAAAAATTAATATGTCACATATAAGAAATGATATAGAAAAAATTGATTAATTCACTATTTAGTGATTAGTTGAAAGAGGGTAGATTTACTATTTCTCCATTAGCATTATTTTTATATTTACCATTACAATGTTTCAGAATCTAATGGAAGAGTAATTCTTTTTAAATGTTACATGTAAAAATTATCAGAATTTGAATGAACAATAGCAAGATTCAAAGAAAGCATGATTTATTTTTACTAGTTTCTATTGTAATTATTATATATTGAAAGAGGAAAGTAGATTATTTCAAGAAAATTTGAACCTAAAGAATTATTAGCTGATTTTGGAATGAAAAGAAACATGATTGACTTATACAAGATTAAATTTACAGCAGAATTAATGTGAATGAAGATTAAATACAATTCGCAAAAAATTAACACGTTTTAATTTTTTTTTTGTCTAACTCGAGGAATAAAAAAAAAAACAAGCTTCAGACTTTAGCAATCCCTTCATAATTATGTACATTTTTATACGTCTTGGATTTTATATTCATACATACATATGTATGTACATACATATGCATTTATTTAAAACAATTTATTGATTATATGATTTTTATAATCTTATAAATAATAATACATAAATTTCATTTGACAATAAAAACCGTCATATTATTAATAGTTATTTACGAGCTTTCTATTTTTATGTCGCCCACATCACTCCCCCACCAGTGGAGTGATGTGGGCGACATGTATATATATATATATATATATATATATAAATAAAATTTCTCAATATTTTTACACATCGTTAGTGCCTCCTCCCAAGCGTGATATTTTCAATAAAATCCGGTCATGAAATCTCCGGATTCGCGGATTATTGCTTTCGATACACCAGAAAAATGCTCGGTCCTCGATTTTGCAGGAAAACCTATTGGCGAGGGGTTCGGAAGCTTTTGTTGAGAAAAAAGCTCAGAACTTTTTCCTTTGCAGGTACATAATGGTTCTTAAGAAGCAAAAGGAAATATAAGATGCACGAGAAAATTGCTGTAGTTTTAGGAAAAATTGTTTTGTATGGTAAGAAATATATTTTCAGATGTAATGGAAATATGGGCACTAATATTAGAAGTTCTCCTCAACAAATTACTATAAAGTAACACGTTCATAGTTAGCATTACTAACTAATATAGTTTTAAATTTTCGATGATAAAAAAAATTAATCAAAAGATTATTTTTTTTAATATATGCGCCTATTCCGTTATGATACATCAGACACTTTTTGGTAGTAGGAGAGATTAGTTGCGGTTGTACCACTTTTTTTAATCATCAATAATTACCACATAGCTGGAAGGAAAGAAAATTAAATGGCAATTTTATGGCTACAACCAGGTACTGACATAGATAAATGCGATGTCACAAAATTATTTTATACAATAACAGGGCAAGTGTCACAACCGTACCTACCGTGGGGTAAGTTATAGTAAACCCATAAAATTGAAAATAAAAATTTTGATATATCTGTACGTTTCAGAGGTTGCAGAACATTCGGGCATACCTTAGAAAAAATTGATTTATGTGTTGTGTGTGTGTGTGCGGATACAATTCTTTTTCGATGATTTCGGGAACACCAATCAACCGATTTGAATAATTCAAAAAACATTTGAATCGTATTGATAGGGAGACGTGCTGATTAGTTTTAGGCAAAGGCAGGTCTAGCAGTTCCAAAGATACCGCGCAAAGAGTGCCAAAAACGACAACTCCATTTCTTAGTTGTATTGCCAAGATGAAAAACTTATTAACTTTTTGGGAAGACAGGTCTAGCGGTTTCAGAGAGAGATCTAGTAAAAAAGGTAGAAAAATGCCATTTGGCGGTCAAAAATGATTATTATACACATTATTCCAGAAGTTTTTTTTCAAAATTCAATTATTTTCAAAAATTAAAATCTCTCAAAAATCTAAATTTTTGAAAGTTTAAAAAATTAATTAGTTCTTGGGAAGTTCTAGCAATTCGCCTTAAGGCGCGATGTCTCTCACAACTAGTTTTGTATGGTTTGATTTTAAGGCACAAAATAGGCTAAAAAAACAATAGATATAAACACCAAAATACTGTATTATCGACTTTTATTGTCAAAATTATGTGATACAACACAACATAATTACTAAATAATTACTTAATAAT